AGGGAAGCGCGGCGGCGCCGCTAGACTTGGCTCCGATTTGGCCATAGGCGGATCAGCATCAAAAACAAGTCAAGGGGAGGAAATCTACTCGTTGGCGGTCGAAAAACCTCCGATGCGGCGGCCGGCTCCTCCGGTGATGGGTCTTCTTCTCCGGCGAGGGTACTGGCAGCTAGGGTTTGGGGTCAGGTGTGGTGAGGTTATTTATAACCTTCTCCTTTTAATCTCAGCCGTCCATCACGATTTAATTTGGGTCGTCCGATCGCGATTAAAATGGGAATAAATCTGGGTCGTCCATCGCGATGCGATCTGGGCTGTCAGTGCGTAATTCAATCTGGACCGTCCGCACGCGTGAGATTTGTACTGTTCGATCGCGTGCATGTGGATCGCCCACGTGGCTCCATCCCCCGTGACCTCCCGCGTCAGCTTCCTTGCCACGCGGCGTGTTCTGTTTGGCCGGGGCTGCTAACTGGGCTGCTGACGTGGCACAACTTTTCTAAATTACGTTTTGACCCCCGTTTTCCGATTTTCTTTTCAAAAACACTCCCAGAATCCAAATTTTCACCTTTTTTTTTTCAAAATCAATTTCAATTAAATCCCAAAAATAATTTTACCCTATTTTATCATTATTATTATTTTTATTTTTATTAAATTAAATTAAATTAAATTAAATTAAAACCTTATAAATTAAATATTGAAAAATTAAACTAAAATTTTAAAATAAATTAAAAAATCAAAATAATAAAATTTGGGTGTTACAATTGCAGTAAGATTTGACAGAGAAAACCCCACTTTTATCCACCTTCCACTGCACTTTATCCTCACCATCAATCAACTGTTGCGCAGACAATAAACATAACAGATTTTCAAATTCTTTGAGTTCCCAGTCCTGCAAATTTCTAGTAACATTGATCAACCAAACAAAACTATCGGAATTTGAAATATATGCATTCTAAAGCAGCATATTTTGTGTCTGCAATAGAATAAATTCTGGGAAATCTGTTCAACAAAGACACATTATCAATCCAGGCATAGTTCCAAAATCTGGTTGCCCCTGCCAGCCTTCCACTGCAAATTTTCCTTAAACTGCAGCCATTGCATCAGAATTTTCCTCCATAAACTCTTGCTGTGGGTTCTTCTGGGCCTTGTTACCCCACTGTCATCCCACACAAGATCACCCCAACGAATCCGGACAATCTGCCTCCACAATCTATCCTCCTCATGTAAAAACGTCATAACCATTTCCCTGCAAAGCCACATTTAACTCGACAATAGATCTGATACCCAACCCCCAATACTTCAATGGTTTTTTGATTTCATCCCATTTTACCAAATGAAATCTTTGTGTCTCCTCATCATCATCCCAGAGAAAATTGCATTGTAAAGTTTCCAGTTTCTTTGCAACATTCACAGGAATCATTATAGTTGACAAATAAGAGATTAGAAGATTAGCCATAGTGCTTTTTATCAACGTGAGTCTCCCTTCTTTTGACAGTAACTTTCTCTTCCAACCAACCAACCTATTCTCACACATTTCCAAAATAGAATCCCATGAGACGCTACTCTTATAGCTAGCCCCCAAAGGCAAACCAAGATATTTGATCAGTAAAGTGACTTCCCTATATTCCAATATCACCGCATAGAGACTCCCATCATCAATGCTAGCCAACTTAACCAATTCAGATTTTTGGATATTGATCTTCAACCCCGATACCCCTTGAAAGCATAAAAGGATATACCTTAAATGGAGATGTTTCTCACATCAGGACAACAAAAGATTAAGGTGTCATCAGCAAATAAAATATGAGAAACATCCAATGTACTGCTTCCATGACCCACACTAACACCCTTAAAAAGTTGCAGATCTTGCCTTGATCATCAACCCAACCAACACTTCCATAACCAAAATAAATAACAAAGGAGAGAGTGGGTCGCCTTGCCTAAAACCCCTAGAGGTCATCAAGAATTCCGAAGGACCATCATTAATGAGAACATCAAAAGAAGTGGTAATCAAGCATGTAAGAAATCAAAGTGTTCATGATGTCATGAAACCAAGCCTAACAAGCAAATAGTCAACAAAACTACAAATAACGCGGTCATATGAAAAGTCCATACAAAGGTTATAAATAATATCAGGGACTCCAATACCGATTTACTTTGTGATAGCAGTCATAACAACATCAAGAATTTTTGTACCATCCACAAAAGTGTTTTTACTGTTATTAATAATATCGTCAAGAACTCTAAAAAGTCTTCTAACCAAAACTTTAGCAATAAGTTTATATACATAGCCCACCGAG